GGGACTCCTTTTTCAACAGAGTGCTTTCCTGGCATCTTCCTGACTCATCTTTTGAAGTAGCCGCCACAGAAACATAGCCTCTGGCTTTGTTACTACCAGCCTTTCCTGTGTGATTTTCAGGAAGTCTGGCAGCATGGCAGGAGCCCACTTCCATATGCAAATAGGGCATTCCACAAAGTACCTATCAGCTAAAGCTTTTACCACTACCCCCACGGTATAAAATGTCCTGGTTTTCTCTCAATAATTGGAGCGGGATCATCAAGACTTGGAGCCGAGCAGAGTCACTGAATAAAGGCTATACCACTGAGATCAGAGCTGAGTCCTGTGTCTCACTGTCTACAATCCAGTCTCCCCAGGGGGGGCGGTATCCTTCCGTCATCGACTCATGGAACTCCAGCTTTAGCCGCCCCGCACTTTCCCGTGTGATCCAGTGGCCGGTGGATTTCGCATCTTGAGGAAGTGCACGGGTGAAATTAGGGCGGAACCCGGCCGGGCAAGCCCCAGCAGCGGAGACCCACAGAGACGCGGGGAAGCGGCGGAGAACGCGGAGCAGACGCCGCGGGACCCGCCGCCTTCCAGGTGTGCGCAGGGGACTTGTGCCATGCTAGCGCGAGACCTTCAGCACCCCAGCAGCGGACAGTGACGCGGTATGCAACCAGACCCGCCGCATCTCCAGGTGTGAGCAGGGGACGCCCCGAGATCCCTGCGCACCCCCCATAAATTTTAATTGTATATGTCAGTAAAAAATGTAGGCATGTAAGAGAGTCAGAGTTGAGACTGGTGGCATTCAGCCTAGATTGCACCTAGGACTGACCACCTGACCAGGGGACAGTAGCCAGCAGGCTTCATCAGAGACCATACTCCCAAGGGTGGATAATGATAGGAAGAGTTTGGAAAAATCATCAGAACATTGCAGAATACCATAAGAAGCCTCTTAATAACTTTTGTTGTTTTGCTTTTTTGAGACAGGATCTCCCTGTAGCCCAATTGCCCAAAACTCACTGTGTAGAACCAGGCTGGAATCAATCTCAGAGAGCTCCTCCTGCCTCTGTCTCTTGCTAGGTTTAAAGGTGTGTACTGCTATACCTGGCTTACTTAATGACTTTTTGAAAGGACCCTGTGATGATGCTTGCTGGCAGCCCATGGTGAACAAGGTTGAAAGGTTGCACTTGAGGTTAGAGATCCCTGTCTAGCCTTTAAACTGGCAGAGAGAATCTAAAACCATTTTATGAAATAAGAGCCTTCTAGAGTTATCCCATAATTTTTACCAGGGTGGTGTGCTTAGAAAAGCCTAATGCTCTCTGCCTAAAGTAGCCTTAATTTTCTTTTGGAAAGTTAACCACAAAAATTGTGTATGTAGTTGATCCTTAGTTTACTGTTCAAAGATGAACTTACAGCTGGCAAAATGGTGTACCGGGTTAAGGCACCTGCCACCAAGCCTTAAGACCTTCCTATTGATCCCTGGGATCCACCTCTCTCAGACACACATACATACACGTACACATGCGTGCACGCACGCACACCCCTGTACACATACAATATATAAGTCTATTTGTTAAATGAACTTAGGTGCATTGAAATCTTCATGAGATGATTTAAGCAGTGATTCGTGACTCAGGCAGTATCAGACCTTGACTGGTTCAGCACTCCAAAAAGAAAGTTGGATGGAGAAATCATATAATGTAGTCTTGAGTCCAGGGACTACAGAGAAAATAGACTTCATTGCTCAAAGTGGAGAACTGCTTAGAGTTTAGCTTGGCAGTTCCTGATTAGTGGAGACCAGTTTGCGTCAAGTTGGGTTTCCATTTGCTTGTGTAACAACCAAGGGTACTAGAACCACCTCAGCCACATGGCCGCCCCAGTTAGTCGGCTGCACGAATGAAGATTCCTTTGTGCCCCCATCGCCTTTATTGATCCCACTCCTCAGTGCTTATCTAAGGCACTGTGCTGGTTAAGTTTGTTCTGTTTTGTTTTTTAATTTGGCACAAACTATGGTCACCTGTGAAAAGGGAACCTCAGGAATTTCCTCCATCACATTGTCCTGTGGCTGTGTCAGTGAAGCATTTCTTAGTTGATAATTGATGTCCAGAGGGGCTGGACCTCTGTGGTTGATGCTGTCAGTGGGCAGGCAGATACCTGAGCAAGCCAGTAGGCAGCATTCTTCCATGGTCTGTGCTGCACCTCCTGCCTTCAGTTCCTGCCCTGATTTCTCATAATGAATTGTGACCCGGGAGTTCCAGGGTAAAAATAAATCCTTTCCTTTCCAAGTTGAATTTGGTCAGTGTTTCACCACAGCAGCAGAAAGCAAACTTGGGTGGAAAGCATCTTCCATTGTCCTCAGCTCATGTTCACCACTGGGTTATGCATTCCATGAAGCCAGGGACATTTGGGTAGCCTATATTTTCTTGTATTCTAGAGACTCTGTAAGATATTCTAGAAAGATCTATGAAACCAAATTGACTTAATTTCTTGAACTGGATTTTTTACTTCTTTTTAAGGAACACCTTATGTAAAGATGCAGCAGATACGCTTGCTGTATGTTATATACTGGATATAACAGTTTTGGTTTTCTTCTTCAATAGGAACTATCCAAGATCACGATGCCAGTCATATTTAATGAGCCTTTGAGCTTCCTTCAGCGACTAACTGAATACATGGAGCACACTTACCTCATCCACAAGGCCAGTTCCTTCTCTGATCCTGTGGAAAGGATGCAGGTATGTGGCAAGTGACTCCTGGGAGAGGTTTAAGTCTCAGAGGTTTGTCTTTCATCTCTTTCCCCAGGTCTCCCCCAGACATAACACACACACACACACGCACGCACGTGTGCATGCTCATATATGTGGACACATGCATACATACACAACTGGTGTGAAGTCCACTTGTGGGTAAAGCTATTCTCAAAGCTTAGAGAATCACCTGCATCTACTCCCTTTGCCTGTCCTCTGGGGAGTACCACTGTAGTAGAAGACTGATGGGAATTTCAAGAGTCCAGGAAGTGGTCACAGCCACAGCTGGCTATTGGAAGCGCTTTCCATGTCTTTGATTTAGAAGGTAGTGTTGCGTTAGTGGGGAAATCAACACTTATTTCAAACTTTCTTGGGATTTTCTAAGAAGGGATGAATATATTCACAAATACGTTTGTTCTTATGGGTACATATGCCCATATACACATATTGATAAGTGCTCAAAAAACAAGGAGTGGAACTTTTCAGTTTTTTAAATGAAAGCTATTTACATGGTGCACATGGGTGGACATGCCAACTATGGCAGATACAATGTTCTTTCAAACAAAGCAGCAGCATGCTAAACTGTATCTTTCTGCTCTTTGATGTAAGTGGTTTTATGTCCTTCTTCCTCAGTTCTGAATGTTGTATAGTTGGCTCTCTAGCCATAGGTTACACATTCACAAATTCAATCACTCGGACCCAAAGTGTACGAAGAAAACGACATTTTACTGAATATATACAGACTTTGTCTTTGCTATTATTCTCTAAATGATGTTCTTTTACATTGTTAGGTGTTACAAGTAGTCTAGAAAATATTTAATGCATGTAAGAGGATGCATGTAAGTTATATGCAAGTGCTGTTCTATGTTTTGACTCTTGAGCCTCCACAGAGTTTTGCGTCTGAGGGAATTCTAGAACCAATCCCTCCCAATTACTTAAAGGACAACTGAACTTTAAAATTTTTTCTTAAAAAATCTATTAGAATGACTTGCTTTAAGAGATTTGTTTTTAATGTGTATGAGTGTATTGCCTACATGTATGTAAGTGCATCTGTGTTATGAATTGCCTGTGGAGGTCAGAAGAGGGTGTTGCATCCCATGGGGCTGGAATTACAGATGGTTGTTAGCTACTATGTGGGTGCTGGGAACCTAACCTGGGTCCTCTGCAAGAGCAGCCAGTGCTCTTAACCACTGAGCCATCTCTCCAGGCCTGGCTTTAAGAGATTTCTAAAGTGTTTGTCAGAATTTATAGGACTCTTAAGGTATCATAAAACTCATGTTTGAAATTAACACTGTAGGAGGAGTTCCATTGTGAATATCCAGTTAATATTCCATATTAGCTTTAGAGAGCCACATTAAAAATCTCCAATAAGTAAACTCCTTAATATTTCCAGTTACCGCCTTCAGCACAGGTTCAGTTCCTGAGAGAATGAGGCTGGGCTGGGCTGTTCTTACCTTGTGTGATTCTCTGTCCCACAGTGTGTAGCTGCATTTGCTGTATCTGCTGTTGCTTCTCAGTGGGAACGCACTGGAAAGCCCTTCAACCCACTCTTGGGAGAAACCTATGAATTAGTTCGGTGAGGTCTTTTGATCCATTCTATATGACTTGTTGAATTTGCATAGTTTACATTTTTCAATGCAGAAAAGTATGTATTTTGAGTATCACCAAACAATTCTTTATGACTGGAGCAAGCTAATAATTTTGATGGTTGCTTCTATGAAACGTATTTCAGAGACTGTCAAAAAATACAAAACAGACATGAAAGTTACTATTATCAAAAATAATTGCAAGGATTTCATTGTTCTTCATTGTGTGGGATTATCTTCCCTTTTACATAGATCATGTGACACAATCAGGGTTTTAAAAAAATACAACCATACCCATATGGATATATGTAGTTCTGTTACCTTAAAGATGGTGACTGTGTGTACACGTATCTGCAATAGCCTGTTTCTTGTTTATATACAACTAGGGGAATTTATTTGGCTTTACCTTTTCTGTTTCTTCCTCTTTGTCTTAGCATATATTTTGACATATTTATCCTCTGATGTTGTGTAGTAGAAATGCTATGTTTATCTTAGTATCAAAGAGACAATGTTTTTCAATCTAATGCCTTTAAGGTATGAGTTGTTTTCCTTGTTGCTGTGTCAAACACTGGACAAGAACCAACTTAAAGGAGGAAGAATTTGTTTTGGTTTACAGTTGGAGGGGATGTCGTCCAGTCATGGTGGGGAAGGAGTGTGTGGTACTGGTCACACTGCATCTGCAGTGAGGAAGCAGAGAGCAGACAGAACTACCATCCTGCCTCCAGTTACTGTCCTCCTCCGACAAGGCTTCTCCTACTAAAGGTTCTACAACCTTCCAAACAGCACTACCAGCTTTGGATCAAGAGTTCAAGCATATGAGCCTATAAGAGGCATTTCATATTCAAACACAACCCTAATATTTATAGACATTACCCAAATTCGTGTGTGTTCTTTAACACATCTGGTTGGCTGGTGTTCCAGCAGCATTGCTGTAGCTCAGATTACATTTACCCGTTTGATAGGTTGTGTTTTCATCAGGATGATAGTAAAAATTTACTTTGCTGAGCCTGCTTTAATATTTTAACACACTCAATAACAGTTAATTGCAATGTTAACTGTTTTCTTTTCTTTTTTTTTTTTTTAAATAAGAGATGACCTTGGATTCAGACTAATCTCAGAGCAGGTCAGCCATCACCCACCAATCAGTGCATTTCATGCAGAAGGATTGAACAATGATTTCATCTTCCATGGCTCCATCTATCCCAAACTGAAGTTCTGGGGGAAGAGTGTAGAAGCAGAACCCAAAGGAACCATCACCTTGGAGCTCCTTGAGTAAGTTGCACTGGAGCTGTTCAGCTCTTCTCAGCCATGCCTACTTGTAAGCTCATCTTCACATACACATGTGTGACCATATTGGTCAAAACTGGAGAACACAAAAGAAATAGTGTTAGTAAGTGTAAACCACCTGCCTCTGTGTAAAATAATTCATGAAGCATGGCAGTGGCCATGTTAATCAGGTTGGAGTAAAGGTTACATTGATGTTTAATGTGTTTTGTTCTGTTTTAAGATAGAGTTAACTTCATGGCAGTTCCTACAAAGCTAGCTACCTGGATATGATTGTACTATTTACTGTTTTGTTTAAGGATCATTCTAAATGAATTCACAGTGAAAAATATTGAAGTGACAATTTTGTGGAACCTGCTACAAAAGTTGGTTGGGAACTCTCCTGCAAAGGTTAGCTTTAAAGTCAAAGGCAAGTTTTAAGTGTGTCCATTAAGCATATTCCACTTTCTCCGCCCACCAAGGGCAGCTAGAAACCCTGGACAGGAGCCATCCATTAACTCCAGTTCCAGAGGCTCCAATGCCCTCTTCTAGCCTTTGCAGGCATTGCATACATGAGGTACATTTACATGCAGGCACACACTCAAACACATAAAAATAAATATTTTTAAAATATTTAAAAGTTTGAATTAAACAAAGGTGTTACAGAGATAAAGTATGAAAAGCTCAATGCACCAAAGACTACTTTAAACATTGGTCTCTAGGAGCTGGAAAGATGGCTCACAGGTTAAGAGCGTGGACTGCTCTTATGGAGGACTTGGGTTCAATTCCCAGCACCCATAGGGCGGCTAACAACTATCCTTAACTCCAGTTCCAGGGAAATTGACACTCTTAACCTGTGTGGGCATTGCGTAACACGAGTGCACTTACACACATTCAGGCAAAATACACTCATACACATAAAATAAAAATACATATTTTTAAAAATTGCTCTCTGAAATACACTGTTCAGGGTATGAAAAGACAAGCTATAGCCTAGTAAAAGTTATATACAAACAAAGAATTGGTGTCTAGACCATTTAAAGACGTCCTATAGGTTTACAAAGAAACAGAACAGATTTTTTTTCAAAAGTAAAGAATATGCTGGGCGTGGTGGTGCATGCCTGTAGTCCCAGCACTTGGGAGACAGAGGCAGGAGGATCTCTGTGAGTTCAAGGCCAGCATGGTCTACATAGTGAGTTCCAGGACAGCTGGGGCTACAGGGAGACCCTGCTTCAAAAAGATCAAAAAAAAAAAAAAAAAAGTAAAGAATATACAAAATAGAAGCTTGGGGTTTTGGTTTGTTTCTGGTGAGCTGGAAGATAGCCTTTTCTGGAAGAGCGTCAAGTAGACCTTCATTTTTACCTCTGCTTTTTTTATGTTTCACTAAACTTCTGAATGATATACAGGTTGAATATCCTTTATCAAGGAGACATGGGAAGAGAAATAATTTAGATTTAGAAGACTTTTTGGATTTGGGGATGTTTGTGTAGGGGATGTTTACCAGTTGAGCATCCCCAATCCAAAAATCTAAAATCCCAAATGCTCTAAAAATCCAAATCTTTTTGACTACTCAGAAGTCTTGGAGTTTGTATTTTTTTATATTATTTTTATTTTATGTGTATGCGTATATTGCCTGCATGAAGGTAAGTGCACCCGTGTCGTGCATTGCCCATGGAGGTCAGAAGAGACTTTCAGATCCCCTGGGACTGGAGCTATGGACAGTTGTTAGCTCCCATGTGGGCGCTGGGATTCGAACCTGGGTCTACTGCAAGAACAACCAATGTTCTCAACCGCTGCGCCATCTCTCCAGCCCTGGAGTTTGTATTTTTGTACTAGGGATATGCAGCGTGTGTACGTGTGTACTTTGTGTCTTAGTGTGTGCACCCTTGCTTGTGTGTCAAGGCCAGTAGTTGACCTCAGATGTGTTCTCTGTTCTTCTCTACCTTACTTTTTGAGACAGGGTCTCACTGAATCTGAAACTTGGCATCTTGGCTAGGTTGGCTGACCCACGAGCCCCCTGGGATCTACTTGTCTCTGCTGCACCCATTGCTGGGTTACAGATGTGCACTGCCACACCTAGCTTTAACATGGGTGCTGGGGACTCAGTCTCATGTTGGTGCAGCAGGAGCTTTACCAGTTGAGCCTCTCCTCAAGCCCTATCAATGCAGTATGTGATGTCATAGAGCTTTGATTTGTTATCCTGAATAAGCATTTGAAACAAACATTTAGACAGAATGGCTCTTCTCAGTTACTTCTCTGGGCTTGGGATTGTTTTTTAGATACAACGAAGCATATACATGGACAAATCCCACTTGTTGTGTGCACAATATCATCGTGGGCAAACTCTGGATCGAGCAGTACGGCAATGTGGAAATCACAAACCACAAGTAAGGCCTACTAGGGTTCTTACCCATATTGTTAGTTTTCATCAAAATGTTCCAAGAGGCTTCATCTAAAATTTTCAGTCAGTCAGTCAAAGGCTCTATTACAGCCTGATGAAAACTTGAGAACAGGCAACATAAGTCTTGAGGGAATAGATGCCCTTTCATTGGCCCCTAGTGTCTGTTGACATTTCAGAATGAAGCCCACTAGGTGAGCATCAAGCCTCCCCAGAGCTTCCTTCTGGTCTCAGCTGCTTCCCACTTAGGTTGTTTACTTTGCGTTACTGATTCAGGTAGGGTGGGTGAGGTAGGTGGAGCATGGAGGTTTTTTTTGTTTGTTTGTTTGTTTTTGGTCTCCCTGTAGCCCCAACTGTCCTGGCCTCCCCAGAGCTTCCTTCTGGTCTCAGCTGCTTCCCACTTAGGTTGTTTACTTTGCGTTACTGATTCAGGTAGGGTGGGTGAGGTAGGTGGAGCATGGAGGTTTTTTTTTGTTTGTTTGTTTGTTTTTGGTCTCCCTGTAGCCCCAACTGTCCTGGAACTCACTATATTATTTTTAAAAGTTGGGTTCACATCCTGTTACTCATTCTTTGTGAATGCTGTGTGCTTTTCCTTGTGGGTACAGTTAGGACTTGAGCAGGGCTTGGAAGTCAGTGAGTAGTAGTTGCCATGAGGAAGGCCCTCCCACTTACTGTTCTGTACTGCTTCCTTGATACTGAGTGGTCATATGAACTTACTCTTTCCTTCACAGGACTGGGGACAAGTGTGTGTTGAATTTTAAGCCATGTGGCCTTTTTGGGAAGGAATTACACAAAGTTGAAGGCTACATACAAGATAAAAGGTGAGGTTTCCATTTAAATGTTGACTGCAAACGACACAAGGCTGTCACTGTTAAAATGTAATGCCAGATAAACAGGGATCATGACCAACAGAAGCAGCTTTCTTCTATAAGAAAATCTCTTTCTTTAAAGAAATTGACTTATAAAAGCCTTTATAGTAACAATTAGAGCAAAACATGAGCTTTATTGGTGGCTAAACAATAGTTTCTCTTGATAGCAAAAAGAAACTCTGTGCCCTCTACGGGAAGTGGACTGAGTGCTTGTACAGCGTTGACCCCGCCACTTTTGATGCTTACAAAAAGAATGATAAGAAAAATACTGAAGAGAAGAAGAACAGCAAGCAGGTGAACATCCCAAGGGTGTCGACAATTGGACTCTTGGATTTGTGCAAACCATTTTGGAGGTGGTCTTTTCTTGGGTCCCAGTTTGACAGGATTGGTTGTGCGTGAATCCTTTTCCTTGTATTTTGAATGAGAAGATACCTGTCTGCCTTATCATATTAGACATGACCCATAGGCTGTGGTGCATCGCAGTTCTGCATGAGGTGTCCACTTGAGTCACATAGCTCTGGGAAGGTGCAGAGCAGTCTTGAGCAGTAATTTTCTCCCAGTGCTTCTGTGCACTAGAGATAGAAATGATTCAAGTAGGTAAAATTTAGTCCAGAATTATATTCGTAAATCTGTCTCACTTGTGTTCTGAATCACGGTTGCTGTTGTCAAGGCCATCTCAGTTCAAGCTGTTGTCATTGGGCTGCTGTCTTCACACTGATCACCCATGTTTGTGGGACATTCTTTGTCCCTGTAATAGGTGAAACACAAAGCATCCTACCTGCTGCAGGTGGGCTCTGGCATTCAGCAGATACCTGTCCCCTCTCTGCTGTCAAAACTTCTGAGAACTAAAAAAAAATAACAACCGTAGGGACCGGAAATGCTTATTTGAGGACTAGCCAGTGTCATGGGAGTAGCTGAGAATCTGGGTTAGCATCTGGTCTCTGCCATTTGTGAGCAGTAGCAGCTTGGTACTGGGGCTGGAGAGAGAGGTCAGCGGTTAAGAACCCGGGTTTAGTTCCCAGCACCCACGTGGCAGCTAACAGTCATCAGTAACTCCAGTTCCAGGGGATCCAACACCATCTTCTGGCTTCCACAGCATTGCACTTGTGTGGTGCACTTATATACATGCAGGCAAAACACTGTACATGTAAAAGAAAAATAATTTAAAACATAGGGCTGGAGAGATGGCTCAGCAGTTAAGAGCACTGGCTGCTCTTGCAGAGGACTCGGGTTCAATGTCCAGCACCCACAAGACACCTAACAACATCCGTAATTCCAGGTCCAGTGGTTCTGATGCCCTCTTCTGACTTCTTTGTGCACTGCATGACACAAGTACACTTACACACATGTAGGCAGTACACTCATACATGTAAAGGAAAAATAAAAAAACATAAACCAAAACCCTGTAGTAAAGAGGGATGGTGGCAATAATGTCTTGAATGCAAATGACAGTAACTGAAACAGCACTTAAAGCTCCAGACGCACCCAGCACTTAAGTTGCTCCATCCTGGGAGAAGGTAAGACTGTAACATATAGAAACTTTCCCTATGCAGCACACCCAGCAATGCTACAGTCTGTGTCTTGTGAACAATGTTTAGACAGCCTTTTAACTCTTGTCTTTTCCATCCTACAAGTTCCTTCCAATCTCTTTCCAATCACAGATCCCATGACCATCTTCTTTCCTGTCTCCTGCTTCAAGAGCCAACACTGTTTAGTAGTTAGCTCCTTATTGCTGACCCTCTATGACCTCTGGATTCTTCAGTTCTCCCTAGGTGTAGGCTGCCAGCTGTGTGGTTGCTTTGCATCTGGGGACCATAGCCATATTGCTTTGGAGGATATGGGCTGCTGTTTCCATGAATGTGTGAAGGAAAAATGCAGGGCTCAGAGCAGGTCTTATGCAAAACCAGTATATGGCTCTGGGTAGAGCAGTATTCATTCTGGGGGGTTGAACCCTGGACCCCAGTGGATGCTAAGTACTTCATGCCTTGGGCTCTGCCCCCACTTTCTCTCTCTTGCACAGGAGTGCGTGCATGCGCATGTACACACACACACACACACACACACACACACACACACACACTCTTTTTAACAGAAAAAGCCACAGTGTATCTGTCTTGAGCAGTTTCCTTTTCAGAAAATGGGGGCCATTTTCCAGTGCACTGGTATGGGTGCATCGTTTACAGCCTTAAATGCCCTCCATCTTGCTCTTCTAGATGAGCTCTTCAGAGGAGTCTGATGAAATGCCAATGCCAGATTCTGAAAGTGTATTTGTTATCCCAGGAAGTGTTCTCCTGTGGAGAATAGCTCCGCGGCCTCCCAATTCTGCCCAGGTGAGTTTGGCCTGCTAAATATCATCACCCTGTTATCAGGCTTTGATGGTGCCCTTTCTCAGTCAGCAGAGGCTGAGGCAAATGCACATGGTCTCCGAAATGCTCTTCCTGGGTACCACCTTCCCTCCTCACCCAGCGGCCTGTTCTGACATGTATCAGGCTGGAAAGTGTGCTCACTACTGGCAAAGGAGCATCACTGTCAGATCAAAGCCCTTCTCCTAGGGCTTTCTACCTTGTGTCATGCTTTGGTGTTGATTTGTTCACTCTGCTACTTTTCAGATGTATAATTTTACTAGCTTTGCAATGGTTTTGAATGAAGTAGACAAGGAGATGGAGAATTTGATTCCTAAGACAGACTGCAGGCTGCGGCCTGACATCAGAGCCATGGAGAATGGAGAAATAGGTGAGGAAATCTGCCATCAGGGCTGTTCTTTAGGGTTGGTTTAATTCTTAGCATCATTGGAATGCTTGCAATTTTAGTCTCTTCCAGGCTTTTGTGTTACAATTCAGCAACCTTTCTTTTACATTTGGCAACCTGAGGTCAGATTGATTACTCCAGTAGTATCTCTGTCAGTTCAGTGTGCTGCATATGGCCAGAGGCTTATCACAGGTGTCAAAGGGATACCTAACAATTTTAAACTATAATCTGAAGAACACTATAAATTTCAAAATTCACGTATCAACTTGTGAGTCTCATAAAATGATTTCCTCTTGATAATTAACACATCTAATCTTAAAATATGAGGTTTAACCTTAAAAATTTTGAAGCTTCTGGGTGCTGGAGAGATGGCTCAGTGGCTAAGAACACTGGTTGTTCTGGCAGAAGACCTGGGTTCGAATCCCAGCACCCACATGGCAGCTAACAACTACCTGTAACTCCAGTCCCAGGGGATCTGACAGACTCTTCTGACCTCCGGGGGCATTGCACAACATGGGTGCACTTACCTACATTCAGGCAGTACATGCATACACATAAAAAAATAAGAATAATAACAGAAACTTCAAATTTTTTTTTAAAGTTTTATTTAACTTGGTGGTTCTCAAAGGGGGCAGTTTCCCCCTCCACACAATAGGTGGCGGTATTGAGACAGTGCATGTGGAGGCCAGCTACATGTGCATTAGCTCCTACTAAATGTCCTGTCATACACAGGGCGGCCTCAGACAATGCAGATGCATCCCATCCAGTAGTATCAAGTTGAGGATCTTAAGACTTGCTCATCGGGGAAACAAAGCGAGGCTGTTTTGTAAAGTTGTTTGAATTTGTTAGGACTGGACTGAAGGTCTCACTAAGAATTTAAAATGATGCCATATTTATTCAGTTTTCCACCTAAATTTTCATTTTGAAGCACTTTACGTAACATTTTTGGCCTTAAGAATAAGGCTGCTTTGAGTAAATGCAGAGGCTGTTAAGGCCTCATCTGTCAAAAGACATGAGTGTTTGACATGTTGATGCACCCCCTAGAAGCTGAGAGTGTTAGTTTTATGTATTAGTTTCTTTAATTTGGTGCTGAGAATTGAACCTACGGTTTCAGACATGCTAGGCAAGTACTCCTGGACTAGCTCTTCAGCCCTCATTTTGACTTTTTATTTTGAGAATGGTTCTTACTAACTTGCCCAAGCTATCCCAGCTTCCAGACATACTCCACCAGTCCCAGCTGGTATGTATTTAAATTTTAACTTGTTTGTGATGCTGTACAGTGGAGGTAATGCTAATATATACATATATATGTATATACATGTATAGATAGATAGAGAGAGAGAGAGAGAGAGAGAGAGTGGCCATCTACACAGTTACTGTGCTTAGTATTATGCCTGGCATCCCCTCGTAAAAATAAATGCTTTTCATTGTTGTTATTTTAGATCAAGCTAGTGAAGAAAAAAAACGACTTGAAGAAAAACAAAGAGCAGCCCGCAAAAACAGGTCCAAGTCTGAGGAGGACTGGAAGACAAGGTGTGTGCCACCATGTCTGAGCCCTCCACCATGCTGCTGTGTGTGAACGACAATGGTGTCGGACTTTGTGAACCACAGAACAGGAGGCCGTAAGGCCTGCTGAACTGCTCCTGGCTTAAGAGGAAACGATTTCCAGGGATTCTTAAATATTAAGACCAAAAGAGCCAGGGGTGTGACATAGAAAAATGACTGAGAAATTAAGGTTAAAATGTTTCCATACAGGTGTCACAGGCAAGGTCAGTTAAGCAAATTTATCCCCCTATGCAGCAAACCCTTTCATATTGAAGAGGGAAAATGCTATCCAGAACTATAGATTTGGACATAAAAGAACATTTAATTGTTCGTATTTGTGAGTAAATTATACAGTCATTTGTGTATGCATATATCATGTATCATTCATCTAGATAGTGCCTTTACTTTTCCAGACATAACGGTTTAGACATGTGATGGAAGTAGGCTTCGTATGAAGTAACACTTAAGATTCCATTCAGGAGTTGACAGTGAGCAATAAAATATGACTTGTGAAAGTTTAAGTCAGAAGTTACTTAATAGTCACTTGCATTAAGTATTAGAATCATTTATAAACCCTTGTCTCATGATTCACTTATTAAATAAGTGTTAAGGCCAATATAGGCATAATTTTTAAGGCATTCCAGTAGATATCATGTGACGGTCTTTCTACATCTTACAAAAATAGATCTAGAAATGATTGTATACTATCTAATCCATTGAGAATTTTTTTGGACTTTAATCATACAAATTATTTTGCAAAAGGACTGGCGAAGAGTCTGCAGGTAGTAGGCCCAGGGAGGAGGAGCTGTGTTGGGTGCGGAGCAGGGCCAGCTACTTCTTGCTTGCTGACTACACACACCTCAAGTCCTTCGAACCATGTGGAACTATGTATGAAAACTGCTCATGTGTAAAGCCTCAGGAGAGCTCTGCGAGTATGCATTCCTCATGTAGGGGCCTGCTTAAAGACTTGAGCGGAGGCTCCACTTCCATTAAGTGATCCAGTCACAGCCACTTAGCTTTATTGAGACCCCTTTTGAAAAGATCTGGAGCATTTTATCTTTTTCTTCTATCTTCCTACAGAAAACCCCACTTTAGTATTTCTACTTAATAATTCCTTTATTTTCTGGTCACATTCTCAGGTCCATAACCATAAGCAGAAGGTTCTGTAAGAATTTTTACTATTAGATAAATCTTAGGATTGGAGCACAGATCTGTGGACCGCTCTGCACAAGTCTTAAAATTAAGTGCTCTTGCACAATGCTGCCAACCTCCATCCTTGCTCCAACTGAGCCAGACCATTCATTCCAGAACACTGTCAGTACAGAGGCCACAGCTAGGAGTTAGAGCTCACAGTCTCCTTGCAGCAGTTAGGAAGGAGCTATTACAAGCAGAGGCCGTTGACAAAGTGCTGGCATGATCACTGTAAAGACTTGTATGTTTAGGGAATTAGCCTACTTAACATAAAGTGGATTTTTCCTTTCATGATGATAGTAACCCTTAGAGTTTCACCAAAGAAATCCAACTTCACTTTTTGTTAAATATTTATTTAGAAGCAGTTTATTCTGAAAGAATGGCAAACATAGAAAAGTGTTTCCATAAATGTTACTAAATCCTATTGAGAAAATGTTACACAGATTCAACAACCCTTTGAACAAGTTTGTGGCATTTCCACTATCTCCAGCAAGCCAGTACCAAAGGAAAGAGGTGTCATGTTTTTATTGTTTGAGGTGTTTTTGCCTTTGTTCTTGACACTGGATCTCTAGAGAAAACTGGCCTTAAACAACACGACCCTCTTGCCTCATGTTGCTAAGTGCTGCTATTGATGGCCTGCACTTCCATACCTGCCTTGGGTGCTATTTTTAAAAGACAAGGAAATGATTGAGGTACTGCTTACAGTTTAGGCAGGTTAAATGTTAAAAGCTATATATAGCTTAAGAATCTAAACTGGCCTGGGAAGATTTGGACTGGATTCATTTCTGTGGGTTCCATGTGGCATAATTCATTACTAGCCTGGGCAATTAGCAGTTGTAAAACTGCTCTGACAGCTCATGAAACAGAGCTCTCAAGTTTGGGGGCACATCTGAACTCGGCACTGCACACCCCGCCCACTGTGTCCTGAGCTCATGCACTTTATGCTGGTCCCTTACACCTGACATCACAGAGCGCGTTCTCTTGGGGGATAACAAGTAGAACCAAATCATGGTCTCCGACAGCACTGTTAAAATCATACTTGTGACTGCTGTGGGTCATAACCCTTTTGCAAGGTATCATTACCATCACTTCTCCAGGGTCTCTGGAAATCCCTAAGTCGCTAAGGGCAGTGAATTACTGTCATAGGAAAGTACTACAAGCCAGTGAAGCACCAATACCATGTGGTTTTGAATCATTCTCCTCTAAGTCTTATCTTTTCTTCTTTGGACAGGTGGTTCCACCAAGGGCCCAATCCCTACAATGGAGCACAGGACTGGATTTACTCTGGCAGCTACTGGGACAGGAACTACTTCAATTTGCCTGATATTTATTAAATTGTGACAAGTCAGAATGTTTGGCTAATGCACAAATAATTCTTAAACTTATGTTTTTAAAAATTTCCCCCTTGGTTTCTACTCATCTTTTAAAAGGAAAAAAAACTGAGATACTTTGCATTTCATCAAACAAGGTAGGGCATGTAGTCATATTGATGAAGGTCTTTGGAAAACTCTTTTATAGAAAGGTAAGAAACTGCTGGAGGTGCTTTTTCTGGTTACTATTCCCCTATGTACTGGAAGTTATACCTAAATGTAACATGTAGCTTTATGGAATTACATAGTAATCCAAAGTCAAGTTATTTTGAATATTTTAGATGTAACTTTGAAATGTTTAGAATTCTCCTATACAATGTTTAAGTGCTCAAATGTAGAGGCTGTCATTTTTTAAAACTAAATTGATAAGGTGGCTTTTACTTTCCCACCTCCAAAAACGAAAGGGAAAACAAAGCCCGAGTCAGGTGTTCCTGGTTTGAAAATTTTAAACAACTAAACTGGAGAAGGTGTTTTATTTACTTATCTTAGTTTTCCGAATTTACTTTTACAATTTTCTGTGATCATTGTCATTAGTTTAAAGGGTGAAATTGTATGTTTGAACTGAAAATATGTATAAAATTTAGCAACTTACAAAAATACCCTAGAAATAGATTTTAATCAGTATCATTAATGACCAACCTTTAAGCTTCAATTCCAGTGGCCAGTGCCACAGATACTAAGCTGCAGTCATGTATTATACGTATCAAACTATATAAAAGGAGGTCTTGTGCATTTTGAATTTGCAAGGTACCTGTGTACTTAAAATATGTATGGAGACCTACTGTACAGTAGCTTTGCCCCTTTAATTGGGGTACATTAATCTCATAGCATTTATCCAACCAATCCCCAGACCGATATTGGCCCAAGGGGCTGTAGGTAGCTTCTGGTAAATTATTTTGTCTTGACGTTAACAAGTATTATAATGAAATAATCTACCTGATACTAAATAAAGCCTTTAGAATATTCCAAGAAGTGTGAACTGTCAGTTATACTAATGTTGCCACATAACACTATCCTAAATTATGCTATCCTCAGGGCCTGAGAAAGAAGCTGCTACCTAGCATACCTACTGGGCAGTTATGGGTGATAACAATGGAGCAGCAGGATGCCGTTTTTAGTGCATGAATACCTGACTGGAAAGTGTACATGAAAGAGCTGGAAGGTGTTATTAATGTTTGGTAAACTTCCTAAGTTGATTAATCACCAATGCAAAGTTTTATGCTTGCAGGAAGTTTATTGATCCAGTTTGCTTGGTGACAGACTTCACTTTCAATGCTGACTCAAATACCATCACCTTCAACATCTGTTAGAGATAGACATTGGGTTATTAAAATGTGAAATTAGTGAAAGATTACACAAGCTGTATTATATTCCTGCTGCTACTAAGCGCTTAGCTAATCAAAAGTACCCCAGTATTTCATGCTGAAACCCTCACTCAGGAGTGTCCAACCTTTTGACACTGCAACACAGAGTTGTCATATAAAGTTTCATGCTTGAGAACCAGACATGTAGTGACACAAAACCTCAGTGTTCTTATTTTGTGTCGGGCAGAACTCATAGCTTTCCTCAACCCCATGAACCCGTGGGTTGGACGTGCCTGGCAACACACGCTTGTGTGTTTCGCTCACCCTGCTCCACACCTGAGGGAAGGGCCTGACATTTAGCACTGGTTGTGCAGAGTGGTAACTGTCTCAAATCCAGTTGCTTTAGCTCCTCCATGTGTTTCAACCTGTCTTCCATGGACTGAGTGCGCCACATGAAGTTGGCATTACTAACCTTGCTCTCCAGTTATTACTACCTCTTGTCTCTCTTTCCCATTTCTTAAATGATTTACCCTTACTTAAAAAAAAAAAATCCATCTCCTTTTAGAATCTTGCACATATTCAAAGGCGAGTTGGTTACTTGGTTTATGTATCGGGCTTTTGTTAGAAACTACATAGTTGAAAGACAACCACTTAAGTATACCCTGTGTATTATTCAGTGAGCTGGCAAGTGTGCTAAGGCCACATATCATATAGGAAGATGTACCTACTATTTTAAGGTTCTGCTCTGCAAGCATGGGCAGTAGTCACAGTAATCTCTCCAGCAATACCATAACTTCCAAGGGGAGTATGTTTGTCACCAGATCCTGAACTTTTTTTAGCTACATCTTCTACTGGGAAAGCAACAGAAAGAAAAACTGGGCTTTGTGGTCTGGGGCCATCTTGTCCATTTGTAGGACTAGTATTCTGGGGATTTAGGGTAGGTTTCTGGAATTTCTGATCTGCAGGAACAGCAATGGGTACTTGTACTGCAGCATATCTCTTCGAGGCATCTGACTGTGAGACAACGTGTCCAGGAAGAGGTTTCCAATTCTGCGTTTCCTGAACGTTTGAGCCTACTAGAATAAAAGGTGGGGCACTGGTCTTGTTGCTCTCATCCATCATCACATAAGCTGGAGAAGTAACTTTCAGTGGATTCTGCAGACACTGTGGATCCTTAGGATTAGATAAATAGAGGGTTTCTTGGGGAAAAGGCCCAAGTGCAGGTGGCAGTGATGGGCAACTTTGTTGATTCATATCACTTAGACAATAAAGTGTCCACATATTAGAATGTGGTGGTGGTTGTCCTGCTTCGCTTGTTGCTAGTGCTACAACAAAAAAAAAATTGCAGGCATTAAAGGTTTGGTCTCTGTATCAGGCACTATGCACAGTATTATCTTTGTAAATCTTTTTCTTTTTTTGCATATAAATAAGCAACTGTAGTCGGTATATGGCATAAAGCATGCTATAGAGAAGATTAAATTGTGCCTGGTAATGTGAGAGTGCTTCCATGCAGTTGAAGGAGAGGAGAGTTGACAGCAAGGGCCGGAGCTGTGGCTGAAGCAGTCTTACTCTAGGTTGCTGTTTCCAGATTCTTACAGTTTTTTTAAGGCCAAGGTATCACAATGTAGCCTAGGCTGGCCTGGAACACTAGGATTATAGTTATATACCACTTTGCCTAGCCAGACTCCTAACTTCTACATGGTGCTCAGAAGAAAGTCAACAAAATTTTTGACTTTGAAAACAAAATCAACTATGTGAAGCCACTGAGAAATATGTTAATGCATTTGCCTAGCAATTTGCCCCCTAAAGTCAGACACTAGATGTCACCAAGTATTCCTGGCCTTTGACAGGCACCATCACAAATACATTGCCTTGTCTAGGACTCAGTCCCAGCGCGCTGTCAAGCCTTGATGTTATATGGCACAGGAAACAGCAAAAGGCTGGTCCACAGTAGAGGAGCCATCCCTTAGCTATATCCAGGGATGCACAGTATGATTTTCCAGAGAAATGTCTTAGAGTTGAGCCCCAGGATAGGACCAGAAGTGCTAAGCTCACATTTTGAACAGTGGGCCACCCATCTCTAATACAACCTTTCTCTCTTCCCAAAAAAGTGCAACATGCATGTGATTAATGTTTGATAGCTTTAGGTAGTTTCTGTTCATCTTCAAGATTATCAAACACAAGCCAAGTTTCCAATTTTTCCAAATGTGGGAATTTGAGACCGCAATCTGAATTTTCTTAGTAACTTCTCTACTAGTACTAAGGACAGCTGTCCTGTCTTAACAGTTGAGTACCTGAAAACAGTGACCTAATCTCAAGTGCTGCTTAAGCCACAAGAATGGCAGCTGCACAGGCTGTGCTTGGAGCCCTGCCCTCTACCGTTTCAGCTGTGCAGAAATCTCTGCCACATTGCCAGTCAGAAGTTTAATCTTTGCTAAATACCTGCTTTGGTAATGTTTGTTTTGTACTAGCTTGAGTCGGAGTCAAGAGTTTCTGCAAAAGGAATGAGGGGCTTGTTTCATGCACATCCTTTCCGACCCTCGAGAGCGAAGGGCCAGTGCGGTGTCGGCTAGGCAAGAGGGTAGGCAGACCAAAATGCCATAAGTAGATGGAGATGGAGATCACAGCACTTACATGTCATAGGAAAACACAGCTGGAACTGACCAGAGGCAGCCGTCATGAGAACTGCATCCACTGCTGCTCAGACGTGCAGCCCTTCTCCCACTGCTGCCATGTCCCTGCTTTCCCGTGTGATGTAACCTAACATGGCCTCTCTCCATCCAGCTATGAAGCTGCTCCCTCAGCTGCAGGAAGGTCCCAAGTAGAAAGCAGTGCTTGAGCCAGCACCCCAAGCCTCCCTGCATAGTTCTGACTCACTGCGAAAGCAGTAAACCACAGCACCATTTCTTTCATGTCTTAAATGCCACAGCCCATTTAAATGCAGTGTTCAATTTTACATTTTCATAAGTGAGAAACTTCAAACAATATCCCATAACCATTTTACAAATAGGCATTAAAAACAGCAAGTTCTTGTGTTCACACAGACATGTCCAAAATGGCCCAAACTTTGACAGAGCCAATGTTAAAAATCACCCAGTAAAATCTAAGTAGAACAAAGCTTTTAAAATAGGTTTGGCATTTAAAAAACCATGAAATCTTTGGCCAGTTGGCAGGGGAGCCTACCCAAATGGTTATTTGACATAGAGACATTACCTAAAATCAGTACATAAGTATCTAGTTTTCTTACCTGACTTCATCAAACCTGTTCAGGTGCAGCTTCCCCATCTGCTTGGATTTCAAGTTCAGTAAAGCCTCCTGGCGCAGGAGGGAAAGGGTCACCAGATGAATGGGGTACAGAGTTCTCCCCTGACTTCTCCTGCCCAGGACTGTCAGGGTCTATAGTAACAATCTCCATTTCAAGGTGCAGAGAGTTTTCAGAGTGAAAAAATCCCTCTGCATCAAGGAGTCCTGTAGATACCTTGGGCTGACCATCTAAAGAACTGTTAGAGAGCAGAACTGTAGCTTCTGCCTCCATATGGGCTGAGGATTGCTGTTGGGAATCCTCCACCTGTATAATTTTCAAAGACTCTATTGATATTTTAGACATGCCTGAGGAAGTCTTGGGTTCTACAGGTTTGGGACTAACTGGTGGTGACTGCTCATTTTCTTTAAGACAAGCAACTTGATCAGTAACAGGGATAACTGTGTGTTCTGGTATCTGTTCAACATAGACAACTCCTTCATTGATGGGCGTATCATTATATATAGATGATACACGAAAGGCTGTTGTAACCTGAGTATCAGCCTGCAAAGGGGCCTCAGGAGCTTGATCATAAACAGGAGGTTCTTGTTCACTCTGCAAGGGGGCTAAGGAAGCCTTTGATGGTTCAGCCTTAGATTTAGGACCCACAACTACCTGTGCAGATGTTTGGCTCAAAACCTGCACTGCTATCATCTCTCCAGAACACTCCAGAGGAATAGACACCAAGAGTTCTTCAGCAATCTCTGCACTCAGTGCCTCCTTGATGACAGCAGGTGTACTTGTGGCTACATCCACCATTAAAACGTCAGAATGAGTAGATGGAACATTACCTAACATCTGAGCGGCAAAGTGAGCTGGGTCAGCCGGGACATAGGCAAACTCTGCAGAGACTGGTGCTGACGGTGGTGATGAGGGTGGGGTGGTAGTCTTGGGCATTGTTGGTTTAGAAGGACCCCAAACTCCTTCAGTCGTCTCCTTAGACTGAAGGGTTTCAGCATGAACTGATGGAAACTGGGTGGTTTTGTTGCTAAATAGTGGTCCAGCTACACCGTCCTCCTCTGTGTCTGTGGATTTCTCCATCTGTGTAGGTTCACAGAAGAATGCAGGTGCTCTTCCTGGTTCTTTTGGATAGTCTCTCTTCTCCAGTGTCCCTCCTTCTGACCATTTCTCTACTAAATGTAACAGCCAGATGGATTAGTCAGCATACATTCCTCAGAGTATTTTAAAATAGTAAGGTGAACATTCAAATGCCAGAGACCTAGGTGCAGCTTCTGTGAATGAGCATAGCTAATGAAATTTTTCTGCTCCTAACCATCTAAACTTTGCATTCCTTTTCCTAAGAAATCAATGACCAGAGTAGAGTATAGCATTGTGGCAAAACCATAATCTTACCACCCTAAGCTGGTTAGCATCAGGGGAAAGATAAGTTGATTCCAAACAAAACCAGTAAAAAGGGCACTGGGGAGGTGGTCCTGAACATAAAGCACTTGTGCAAGTATGAGGACTGGACTGTTAAAAGCTGGGCAGGCAAGGGCATGGGCACCTGTAATCCCAGCATTGCGGAGGCAGAGACAGGATCCCTGGAGCAAGCTGGCTAGCTAACTAGAAGCTGGCAAGTTCCAGGCTCAGTGAGAGATGCTACCTCAGTGTGGCATGTGACTGAGGAAGACTTTCAGTGTCAATTTCAGGCCTCCACATACACATGCCCCCCACCCCCAAAGAAGGAAACATTAAAGACGAGCTTGGGCAGTAAATTATATCTTCAGTTAATATTAAAATTTACATAATTTAGTATAACACAGACGCTATCATATTAATAAAAGAATTCCTCAATTTAAGAAAATCAGTATACTGTTTAACTTAATGAATTGTTCACCTGAGGAAGGATATATCCTAACCTGGAAAAAGTAGCCTCTGCTGCTGAGATGTGATTGTGTAGCCAAAACCATATTGGCACAGATTAATAAGAAACTTCTAGGTCCACGAATAGACCCATTGAATCCTCAAGCCTGAAGACGACTCAAGATAGCTAATGACGGGCAGAAAGCCCTAGAGCCAGAAAATTCATTTTGAGGTTCATCAGCCAACATCTGACCACCTTGGCTGTTAACTCATTAAAAAATTTTCACAACCTGACAGGGTGTGGTGGTACATGTGTCTTTAATCTCAGCACTGGGGAAGGATGAAGAGGCAGGCAGATCTCTTGAGTTCCAGGCCAACCTACGTTCTACAGCAAGACCTCGTCTCAAAAAACAAGTGTTCACATTTACTTCCTGAGAACTTTCTCTTGGGAAAGCATTTCTCTAATGTAAGTCTTCAGGAAATGCGGAATGGACTCTCCAGGAATGGTGGCACAGAAAAGACCCTATCTCAAAAACAGAAAAAATCAAAAACAAAACTAAAGTCTTAACTGAAATACCCGATTCTGAGATGGCACACCAGAACTATCTCAGCCATGGCAGAGACCACGAAGAAGAGCTTACCATTTGTAGTAGCTGCCAAGAGGGGAATCAGCTAAGATTTAACACCAAGAACTGCTAAATGTGGCCTAGGATGTCATACTGCAATAGCCAGCACCTCCAAACTCAAGGGAAGATCATGAGGTCTAACAAGTACTATTCCACAGTAGAAGGCCAAGAAAGGGAGCCTCCTAATACCAAGCAAGTCTAGCACAGACTGACTATAGATCTATGCTTGAAGAGCTTGGCTACCACATAGAGGAGGGCTAAGAACACTGCAAAAGCCTCTCCCCCAGGCCCTGAACCACTTCCTGCCCCACATACCAGCCCAACACTGAGTAGTGACAGCAGATTGTGTCCTGGTGAGGGAAGAGAGTGCATAGAGACACCCCTGTGGAACAGCTGACACACTGAGCTGAAAGTTGAGGGGCAAGCATAGTCTGAGAAATACCTTCAGTCACCCTAGCACCATATCTCAACCTCTCCTGGATGAGTTTGAGGCCTGAAGTACAGGTATGTAGCAGGAGGCCTCCAAAGATGGTGAGGACCCAGAGCCCTGGGATTCAGCGAGAATTCACTTCACTTCTTGGTCTGCAAATAGCCCTCCAAAAGGAGCCCTGGCCTCTGTACCCTGCTCGTGAGCCCAGTGACTGCTGACAGACTGCGTGGCGTGGACCAATCAGAAAACAATACGTTGACTAAAGGGACGTGGGGGGTGGACGTGGGGGTGGAGAAAAGGGAAATATAAGGCCTGCCTCCTCCTGCATTAAATGAGCCTTCAGCACCTCGCCTAGTGCTTGCTTCTACCGGACTCCGGGGGTCTGCGCCTCTTGCCCCGCCCCCCAATCGGCAGGGGACCCGATCCAGGTTAGGGTCTTCACAGCTGGCCTGAGGAGAACCTGCAACACAGGGAGGCGAAGAATCAACAATCTCCAGCCTCCTGTGTACAGCCAGTCCCACACCAAGGGGGATTCCTTCATCTGTCATAAATTCCCCAGCCAGGGTTTTTAGCAGGAGCCAACTAACCTAGGAATTAGATGATTACCATCTCTTTGGGCCGCATGGGGCCTGTCTGGTGATGTAACTCTGGAAGGCCCACTTGTCTCCTCATAGCTTTGTTCTACTTGACACTGTGCCTAAGAGGTTAATCCACGATTATATCTAGGCAGTTTTTAATTAAACTATTAAAAAGAAAAAGCTGGAGCGAATATGGGACTCACTTTCTATGAATCTCACCTCCCCAAAATCCAGGCACTGGCCTTTGTTTTATGTACTTTATCTAGTTAAAATAGTTTATCATGAGAAAGCAAGTCCAGCATCAACTACTCCAGTTTAAAGATCTCTTCCACTGCATTTCACCTAGCACAAGCGTCTTGCACTTACCAGAATAATTTGTTTAATGAGACAACTGGATTTTTAAGAATACATAGGATGAGGTGAGGAATACTAAAAACAGATGAAGGATGAGAGAATGCTGTCTTGGTTTTGAGCATGAAAGGTAGGGAAAGGAACTCTGGGAGAAGCATCCTAAACCAATTCACATGACCTGGAATTCTCATCTAGAGGAGATGGCGGCATTGTCAGGGCCTGACACACAAGGTCTATGAAGAGATGAGAAATGACAAAAGATAGAATGGACTTAGATCCTAAAAAGTTAGGATAAACACATATTTTCAAAAGTACTAAACTGTGTGGGTTTTTAAGTTTCCCTATAACATTTTTAAGTGCAGAATTTGTGGATAAGAAGCAGCAAAGTTTCTGAGCCAGCAAGGTGGTTCAGTGGATACTTGTCACCAAGTCTAATGACCTGAATTTGATTCCTAGAGCCCGTACGGTAGGAGAGCACTGACTCCTAAAAGTCATCCCCTGATATCCACACACTCCATGGCACACTCATTTGCACCCATACATACTAATACATAAATAAAATGTAATAAAGTTGTGTTTCAGAATTACACCCCTACCTGTAACACTCAAAACCAGAACAACATTCTCTCATTTATCTACTTTTAGTATTCCTCACTTTATCCGGGCAATCTGTTTACTGCCTCTGCTTTCTGGGATGGCCATATCTGCTTCTCAACCTAGGCCTCATCCTAATCCCATGTTTTCAATCCTCGTCTGAGACTCTGACTTTAATTCTCGACTACACCATCTGCTCAGTGACTTGTTTGGCCTTTATTCAACTTGATCTTACCCCAAGGAAAAAATAAAAGACACCTACGCCCTGCCCCTTCAATCATCACCAAATAATGAAACTTTCTAAGCTTAATGAATTCTGACCATGGTTCAAATTATCACCACCTATGCAAATGCAAGCCTTCAAGAAGCAGTAAATGCCTATCACTGTTCTATCAGGATAGCTATACCTGAAAAAAACACCTAGGAAAGTTGCAGAATAATGCCAAAGCCTCCTAAACTTTATGATGGATAGGCTTAATTTCTTAATATTTAGAAACTTGGAAGTTAATTATTTCTAAACCTTATATTTATCTTTAATAAAGCTGCAGTTAGTCTATCTGACTCATAAGGTTGTATGAACTAACAAAATATAAGTACCTAAAATTAATATAATTCCTTCTTGTCCTAGCATACAGTAAGTGGTAGAATTTAGGGGAATGACAAAAATATCACCTGGGTTTTAAATCCTATCAGTTAATTTGGATTAATGAAGAAAATGAGAAGATAGAGAAATGAGGGTCAGTTTAGTCAAACTATTTGGAAATGGATGGTCTGCTGGTGAAACACCATCGTGTCTGCCCTGGACCAGCCCTGGACCATCCTACAGACACTAGGCTCTGGGAAACATGGAAAAGATGAGATGGAAGAAGTGAGGACAGTGTGTGCCCGTGTCCAATTCTTTCCTTCCTACTCTTTTCCACCTGCAATTTTGAAGTCATTGGTGAGATGATTATTTCTGTTTCACAATGAAGCCTACCAAAATGGTTTTCATTCTAGGAAAATTATTCCAGAAAGGTTGACTAAAGCAAATGCTACATGCAAAGAATGTCCTCTCTCCATGCTTTCCACAAATACTGGGAACATGCAGTGGTGCTGCTGGGCAGCAAATAAACCACGGAGACTAACTTTGGAGAACCAAACATCCTTATTGACCAGGCTCAGGAAGCACGTGCTCATATCTGATATGAGCAAGATGAGTGGGTCCCAGTGAACTAGAGAATGGCATTTAGCTTGTACACACCACCAGCTTCCAATACCTGGTGCTGTCTGTAGGCTGATCAAGCCTCATACTGAAGAGACTGATAAATAGAATAAGGATCAGTTGACTTAAGTCTTCAAAGAATAGTTCATTTTCACATCTTCCAAGTCACTTGAGAGTCCTTCCAAGTCCTTTCCCTACCTTTCATGCTCAAAACCAAAGTTGTGTTTCAGAATTATACCCCCATGTATAACACTCAAAACCAGGACAACATTCTCTGGAGCATGTAGGGTTTTTATGGGCACCACCTTTAAACCTGGGATTCACACAAGGCAAGCTGTACTTGGAGGAAATACCGGATTTTTAAACCTACATTATTTTTTGTTACAGAGAACTGAACCACACAGCCAAATTTACTCAGAGCTCTAACAGAAGTAGCAAATTAAACCAGCCAGAACATAGGCATTCATTAGGACATGTCCTGCTACATGGGAACCTCACGGTGCCCATCTATCTACAGATAGTCCCCCATCAGCACAGAGTAAAGCTCAGATGAAGGTGAACTCATGCAGTATCTATAGTAGAACCTAAATTCATGGATCTGGTTTGTCTGGTAAGAAACCATTTGGGCTGACAACATAGGAAAACAAATAAGCCAAAGTGAGATCAGACTAACACTGAGCAGTATTTGTGGCCATACTTTCTTATTGCCTTATGATCTCCCCAGTGAACCAGAAGGAGCAATGCCATTTGTTTTACTGCCCATGGAGAAATCTGCTTCTTTAACTGTAGTGTGAGCTTGCTTTCAGAATCATCTGTGTACTACGACTATTTCTTTGACATCTTTAGTTACTTGAAGTAAACAGCCATATTTTCTAATCCTTAGTTCCATCAAAAGTACAGCTGGTCTACAAATTTTGGTAATCTCTTAATTTAAAAATCTTGAGATTCAAACATAATAACCTACTCAGACCAAACTCCACATGTATTTAAGTTAATAAAGTGACTGGATCTCAAATCTACCAGGTAGTTATCTTCTACCATAAAGATTCACTAACTCTGTCCCCATCCTCAAGCATACTAAGCCAGGATTTTCAAATGCAGCTCCTGTTTTTAGAAGACACAATAATATCCTTGATCATGGGTAGGGAAGGGTAATGTTCTTGCACTTCATCTGTACATGATGTTCAGAGTATAAGCAGGTCCCACATCTGTTTCCTATGATTGGCTAGGAATGCTATCAGTGCCTGCAAGGAAGCAGCCAGCCTAGAGGATGAACAGTCCTAAACCATGGCGCCTTGTTCTCTGCTCTTCAAATGCCACATTTCCCATTCTTAATCTTACTTTAAATTTTGGCTAATTTTCACTGCAGATAAACCATCATTTTCCTAGGACTTATTCCTAGTCTCCCTCTGTTGTGGTTATCTATTAACATAAAACTGGCCAGTGAGGTAGCTCCGCAAGTAAAGGCTCTTGCTATCAAGCCTGACGGGCCTGGTGGAAGGAGAGAACCAACTTCCAAGTTTTCTTTTGACCAAGCATGCACCATGCACCATGCACCATGCACCATGCACATGCACAAGAAGGTTTTTTTTAATATTTTATTTTTGTGTATACGAGTGTATTGTCTGCATGTGAGTGCACCATATCGTGCAATGCCTCAGACATCAGAAGATGTATCAGATTCCCCAGGAACTGTAGTTAAGAACGGTTCTTAGCCACCATGTGGGTACAGGGAATCGAACCTGGGTCCTCTGCAAGAGCAGTCAGTGCTCTTAACTGCTGAGCCATCTCTCCAGCCCCTTTAAAGAAGTTTTTAAAGAGCTATGTGTTTTAAAAACTGACAGTTTAAAGGTAACTGACAACTACCCCTTCTTGCTCTGATCATTCCAAACTGTTGGTCAGCTGGTCTGTAAGTCTTTTCATTCTTTTAGATCCATATGCCTGTCTTTGGGGCTTTACCATTACATTTTCTTTTTTTTTTTTTTTTTAATAAACATCTTCCCAACTTTTCATAATGTAAACTCTGCCTGATCTTATAACTCACTTTTGTCACTACTCAAGGTCATGTTAAACATTCACACATACACAAAAACCAAACTTTCTCTAAGTTACCACTCTGTCATGGTGTCCAGAATCAGGAGAAGACCACTATTCCATGAAAAATACATCTATTCACTCTTACAAAAAAAGTATGGTCAAAGATACCTAATCTCTTGTACACTGAATCTTACAGGTAACCATGGAAGTGACAGAAGATAGGCCATTAACCTTTCCTTTGAACAAAAGGTATTTTGACAACTCTCCATTACAGATCCTTTACCCACACTTGAGTATGTCTTTCATTTAGCACCTCATTTTCTCCTAACCCTCATGCTTAAGCCTACATTAAAATACCTTTAATAAAATGTCCGACTCTGCCTCGTTTTTTTTTTTAAAAAAAGGTATTTCAAGAAGAGTGTTTATATATAAATTGAGTATTCCTTATCAGAAATTCCTGGAATTTGATCTGTAAAATTTAGAGGTTTTGTTTGCTTTGGAGGGAATGTCTGCATAATCTATCAGTTGAGAATCTGCACCTGAAAATCATAAATATGAAATGCTCTAAAATCTGAGACTTTGAGCAATGTGTTCTCATTTTGGATTTTGGAGTGTATCAAATTTTTGATGTTTGTACTGCTTTACAAAGCATCTCACTGTAATTTAAGTCTTTATCACTATGAAGTGCAATTCTCTTCAACTTGACCAACTTCCCGAAAAGCGGATGTAACAGAAAGGATCTGAGCCATAGTTTATATATACACTGTTCCAGGCATTCATATATATATTTACTGTATCAAATTTTCTTGTGTGTGGTACTAGGACTGAACCCAGGGCCTCATGCATATTATACCACTGAGCTACATTTTCAATCCTAAGGGGTTTGTTCTTAAAGATATTTTCTCTCGTTAAGATTATAATCTTCAAAAAACTTGATCCTGAGGTAAAAAACTGATTCAGTAAAAAACAAAGCACCACAATTAAGTTATTGTTTACACAAAAAACACTGTTGTGGCCAGCGACTGTCCTTGGCGTAACTACGAACATGTGCCACCAATTACGCAACAAGCAGCACTGCTGAACTTACCCGTGTCACTCACCTTTCATCTGATGAAACTGTTTAATCAGATCTTTTATATCCAGAGACGTATTCCCTGAAGGAAAAACGGCAGGAAATCAAATAGATACATTTCCCAACTCAAAATGGCTTCACAAAGCAAACAGAGAATCTAAAGACATGACAAACCTTCTCTAAACACAATGAGTTCTTTAAAATATACTGCTGCAAACTGGGTGACATTTGTTGGATTGGTTTTGAGAATAGCTCTGCTAACTCCCTCAAGCAGGGTCTTGAGGCCATAAGGTATGACAAGTCTGGGCTTTGAAGAGATCATTTTGGCAGGATGTCTGTAATTTCAACTACAATAAAGAAAAACAAAGTTATGCATAGTACATTAGATTGATTAAACTTTCCTGAGTTAACTAGGGTTTTTTAAACCAAATCTATAAATTAGCTTTAGTTCTAATGTCTAAGTACATATCCTAGTAATCTGGGATATTATTCTTGGTAGTAGTTAAAAAATAAGAACCACTATCAATTGTTTACTATTTGCAGATGTGCAATCTAATACTAAGAAATCAATAGGTGAGCTGGAGAGATGGCTTTGTAGGTAAAAAGCACTGACATAGCACAGGCCTGAGTTTAATCCCAGATCCCACAAGGTGGCAGAGAGAACTGGGAGAACTAGAGTTGTCCTTGGACTCCACATGCTCTGTAGAGCATGCATGTACCCCCCCCCCAATCTCCCTGTATCTCTATCTCACACACGAACATTTTAAAATCCTTAGGAAAAGCCTGCCAAGATTCTTAGAATGGCATTTGAAAGTCCAAATAAAATCTATAAAATCCAATTAATATTTCAAGAAAGGTAAATTAAGCTGATGTTTCCAAATAAGGTTCACACTAGTTTTGTATGAACTGTAAAACTCTTTCTACAAGAAAATGACACTTTTCTAAGTAGATCCCAGACACATTTCCCATGTTGAAATAATTTTTGCTTTATTTTTTTCTTTTTAATTTGGGAACTTGAACCCAGGGCTTTTACACATGCTAGGCAAATACTCTACCACTAAACGTTTTCAACTTCAGGTATTGTCACCCCATCATATGTACTTTCTCAGATCCCCCCTTGTTTCCCCAGTCTTTCTTCACTCCTGCCTTGCTGACTTTTAAATGTTAGTCTACCAGGGTATTCTGACCTTTTGACATTGGATTGTCATCCACAAATGAGTTGGACTGCATTCACAGCTGCAAATTGGACACACCTGGATCTATAATTCTCACAGGTGCAGTATGTCAATCTTAAACTATCAGTATGTTTGTGCTCATTCTAAAACACTGAGGGCTTGTAAATAAAAATTAAATCTCATCAGTGGTATGAGAAAACATAGTGAGATTAGTGTATTGTAGTGCAAACCATAAGTCCTTCCCTTTGATAAATATGTGTAGTAAACAGGACCTTGAGTTAACTAGCAGTCACTAGATAGAAAACAGGTGCTTAAATGATTCAGGCTGAAATTAAAAAAAAAAAAAAATCAGTGGCTTGAGGGAATCAGCTGTTCTGATTGCTCTGGACCATGAGACTTTCTCCAATGGGTAATTATAAACAGCAAACTGACACAATGAATCATCTTCCTAACGTACTTACAGTAAAGAAACAAGTTTCACAGGGCTAAGTGATAGTTTACAGCCAGTATCGCCAATTATACCAGGGGCCAGCTTCTAAAACACAATACTGTTGAAGTCTTAAAAGCAGTTTCATCTTCCCAAAGGCCAGGACAAAATACAAACTGACCAAAGCAAGCGCTTTGGGACTGTAACTAAATGTACTCAATTCCTTGATGAAACCTTACAGAGTATCATTTATCAGGTGCTTTGGTTATGTATGTACAGATATCTGTAATACACACGCATCTACCTAAGTATTATCATTTCTTTTTTTAAAAAGTGCCCTTGCCATAGGCAACGTGGAGCAGGCACAGTATCCTCTCTGTAGGTCGGTAGCAGTGCCGCCTACTGCTCTAGGCTGGGAAACACGCGGAGGCCAGGGATGCGGAACGGCAAGGGATGGAGTACACAGAGGCGGGTGGCCCCAAGGAAGCCGCACCTGAGGGTGAACGAGGCAGTGTCACCGACTGTACGCAGAACTGCTCGGCCGAGACCCAACCTAGAAAGGCAGGGCCCTCGTGCGGCCCGAGGCAAACTGCCCCTCTGACACTACCGGGTGGGGCGCTGCGGCCCTCGGTCGCGGACGTGAGTGGGGACTGCGGGGCCACAGACTGCGAGCGCCCCAGCGCGCCCTGCGACCCTCTGATCAAGCCGGACACGGGCCGCCCACCGCGGCGTCCTCTGGGAAGAGTACTCGCTCCCCACCGCCCGCCCCGCCGGCCTAACCGCCTGGCCGCCCACCTTCTCTCCAGCTACGCTAGAGCTTCCTCCTTGGCCCCTCGCCCGCGGCCCCTGTGAGAGCGTGCAAAGCCCACGAACTCTTTATACCCCGATGACGTCAGGGCTCGCGTCACAGAGCCCCGCCCCTGAGGGAGGTGCAGGGCCCCACCGGAAGAGGCGGTCAACCCAGCCAATGGGGAAGCCAAAGAGGACTAGAGCCTGAATTCCAGAGAAAGGGAGGAGGGAATTTCGCCTCTTCTGCCCCTAAATCTTAGGGAACCCGCACTTTCTCAGGGCCGGTTGGAGGACTGTCCGTCCGTCCTTTTCTCTGGGTCAAAAAAATGACCTAGTGGGATGTTTGGAGCTCAGTGCGGGTAGTGCTGACGTAGCATTCATAAGGCCCAGGCAGGCTTAGTCCTCAGCCTCATAAAACTAGACAGACAGGTGCATGCTTGCAACCCCAGCACTCAGGAGGCAGAGGCAGGAGGACATGAAGTTCACTTCATCCTGAGCCAGCCCCAGTATACATGAGAGGCCGCCTCAAAGACTTTTGTAAGAAAAAAGAAAATGGGTTTATGGCTGTGGTTATCCTACCATCACTGCCTCTCCTGTCCTCCCAGCTCCCAATCCTCTTGGGTCACCCTTTTGAAAGGTAATTTCCCCACACTAGCCAACAAGCAATGGTATAAAGAGTGCATAATGCAAAGACAGCACAGTTTTCCTGGAGAAACTCACCTGTGAAGAGTATGGCATGAATCCTGAAACTTTCCATTTCTCTGTAATTAGAATCAGGCCCCATCTATCCCTGGAATCATCACACCATCAGCAGCAGGTTACAAGTCAAGGAAAAACTTCACCTCAGTTTTATAAAAAACACCACTCCGTCTAAAAATTTCCACTCCCTGCTCTTTCACCCATGCAGGCTAATAGCGTATTTGTGCTGGACACTAAAAAACACCCTAATTCAGCTGGAGAGCACTGGCTGCTCTTGCAGAGGACCAGAGTTCAGGTCCCAGTGCCTACACAGCAAACAACCATCTGCAACTCCGTGCATGGAATACACTCATATGCGTAATAAATAACATACATAAAATAATTTAAAACTACCATAATCATGATTACTAGATTCCACATAGCCCTCACTGTGTATCTTCAAAGGTTTAAAAAGCAACAAGAACTACTGAAAATCAAACATTACTGACATGTATCTAGTACATATAGTTTTTAATTCAAGGGGAACAAAGGATTCCTGAGCACTTTGCAATAAAAGGCAATGGTAAGGCCTCTGTCTACATCCAGACCACAGAAAGCATTTAAGGGGAAATTCATTCATTTAATAGAGTAACTACAGCTAACTTCCTCTTCTTAGGAAGATGGTGTATTTACAGGGAGAAATCCTGATAGATCTGCAGATAGTTGCATCTTCATCTTCTAGCACTAGCCTCTAGCCCTGTACAGGAGTACAAATCAAAATGAAATGAACTCTCACGATATCTGATGCTTTGGCTTAGAATACATTTAACTGTCAAAGGTGCAATGAACTGTGCAGCTGAAAACCCTAATCACGATCACTAGAGACCTGGTTTGTGACTGTACATCATATTGATGTGATTTAACCTGGTGGGTACATCATATTGAACACCTACATATTAAGTGTTAGAAACTTTACAGAAATAGCTGTGACTCAGAAGGGCGGCTTTTACTTGTTCATTTCTTTAAAGACTGTTATGTTTGAGACACTGAAATGCAGATTGTTACAGTGAAAACATTTACACAAAAAAATTTCAAGCCATTACCTATTTACTGTTTTTTCTTTTTTAACTTCTAATGATTTGATGTGGCTTCACAATCTTTTTGGCCTTACAAGTCTCTTCCTTTCTGGTTATTAGTGATCTGAATAAAATGCAAATTTTATTTTAGTTTTCATTGCCAGCCTCCTCCCCACATCCCTGACCCTTGCCCTATGCAAGTCGAAAGTTCTTGGTGTAACCTGTGTGCCTCACCGACTTTCGATTTTAGCATATTGATCCTACTTGACTCCTGAGTCTTAAAACATGTGATACCTCTGACCTCTTGCACATCTGGTCCAAGACCCAGAAGGCCTTTTGCTTTCAGCTGATTGCATCCTGGTTATCATTTAAAACTCAATTCAGAAATCTACTTTAGAAGCAAGTAGTTTGAAGCATCTCTTTAGGAGTCCTATAATGCACTCTAGGAGGGACTGATCTTTTTAAAGTGTCTATCTTTATATAGTTTTGTTCCTGCTTGACTCCTCTCCACCTAGATTTACTACTTACATAACAAAAGACAGATGACCTTGGGTATCATTTCTCTAACTCAGACCACCAGCACTGGAACCATCCCAGGAGCTTGTTAAAAATGCCTTCCCACAGAAGGGCTTCCCACACAGTCTAAGGCAACTGCCTCTACTACAGATTTTCTTGCAATGATCTGGGCCCAAGTTTTCTTTTGTGAACCGGAGTTTCTCAAGAAAGCCCGATGTATGTTGAAGATTCTGCAGATGACTGATTAGAACTTCGTGACTGAGAGTTAGACTATTACAGATCAAAGGCCTAAATTATCCCGGACTTCAGTCTCCTGACTAGCTCTCTGTTATCCTCCTGTGTCTTCACAACCTTTTGACAATGGGGTTAAGCTTTTTTGGAATGTATTAACAGCAGAACACTAGTTTGCCTCTAAAATCCACAGCAGAGATTTCCTTGCTTTGCCGTACTCTACTTACCTGATAGCTGCACCAAAGTATTTGGTAACTACATTGATTTATGACTGGGCTCTGTAATGAGACCATAACAGTTCATGTAACCACTTCCGTGGTTATGTATGTTATTCTGGGTAATATATAATCCACATTGCTGGGCCACTCATACTAAGTTATCTCTTACTCTGTAGAAAGAGCTGTGTTTTGCTTTAACGCTTCCTACAAAATATACTGCAACAGAAAGAAAACAGCACATCATGATGCCATAGAAGGCCGTATTTAACACTGCCACCATGATTCGCTTAGGAAAGAAATCAACTGCAAGAGTTCACAAAGCAAAGAAAGTCTGTGTGTGTGTGTGTGTGTGTGTGTGTGTGCACGCATGCGCGTGCTAAAACTCAGACAGGCATTGTCATTTCATTTTAGTTGGCAGAAATATAAAAGTGCAAAGTCAGGACTTTGTTTATACAATCTGACATAAATAGCCTAATCTTCTGTGGCACCTGAAAGTTATAATTCCTTACCCAGAAGACTTAACTACCATGCACTAAAACAAAAAGGATTCCTAACCTGATAAAGGTAAAAATCATCAGCCAACAAGGTACATATTACATTATCACGGGACCATGCCTCCCAGTCTGCCAAATTATAAAAATGTGTTCAACATACATAAAATATACACTAAAGAGTTCTCTCATCAGAGGCACAATCTAATACAAAAATATATTTGACATTTATAAACTGAAAGGTCCATTGAAGAGGTTATGACACGGGAAAGGGGGACAAGTGATACCAACATACACACACTTGGATACAGAGAGTTACATGATTATTACTTCAACAAGAGGGAAAGCAGTTTACAACAAGCCCAGGTACCAGGTGGATCACAGTCATTCACAGGTCAGATGAGTCACAGCTCAAGGGCCAGATAACTGTGAGAAGTACTCAGCTCAGAGTACCCGATCTACAGTCGGTATAACAGCACAGTGTACTCACACTGTGGTTTCAGTATGTGAGGGTCTTTAGAGCCTCCATGGACCCACTCCCCACAGTCTGTCACCACATTAACAGTGGTGCACCAGAGTTGTCAGAACTAAGGCTAGGAAACAGTTTTTAAATAGATCTACATTTTGAGTAAAGAAAATTTACAGGAGGGTGTTCCCAAGTTATTTAGTTTAATTCAAGTGGAACATACTGTAATCTCAATGAGATAAATGCAAGCAATTTTTAAAGCAATTAATACATACTTTAATTTGAAAGAATGGAACTTCATGTAGTCCTCGAATACATAATAGCTTTGAAAGAATAACTATATCAAGAACTTTATGGCTTGAAAGGTTCCACAACCCTAACAGAAGAACCTTCTACACGCACTTATAGAGTAAGAAGAGAAGGGTGGCAATAGCCATATTTTTCAAATTTACAGCATTTTTCCCTTCGGTTACCAGGCTTCCAGTATTCTGGGCCTCTAGTTTCTCTCTTCCGAAATCTTTTCTCTCCTTGGCGTTGTGGATGTACTCATTCAACAAATGCAGAATAGCAATCCTTCCTTTCCTGTAGTGTTTAAATTCCATACAAGATTCATGTCAGTAAGTCTTTGTGAACATACACTTGGGAAACAGTCTACTCAGAAGAGGCTGTCACAGTGAGGGCGTAGACACAGTCGGTGAGGAGCAACTTCTTTCAAAGAGTTTACTTCCTTAAACCAAGATTAAAATGCTTTTGGAGGGAATGAGAGGGCTAGAGCCCAGAGTCTGAAGCACACCACTTAAGAACATGCCCTGCACTCTGACACACATGATTAAATAAAATGAAGTTTGCAAGGGCTGGAGCTACAGCTCAGTGCTAAAGTGCTTCTCCCATGTGTGCAACACTTTGGGTTCAATTCCCAGCATGAGAAAAGACAAAAATAAAAAAATGGGATGAAATTTCTCGTCTCTCTGCTTTGCTCCTGTTTTATTTTCTAAGTATGAAAACATTCCTATCATAGAAGCTCCTGACTCAGATGGTATGATACAGAAATGAGCTGTACTCTGAAATGGTACCCTTGAGCTCAGTAAAAGTGCAAAAACTTAAAGACTGAGCCAAATTATGGCAAAGATTCTTTAAAGTGATTGAGGTATTATTCAAAACCACAGGTATACAGTACTGGGCACAGAGGTAAACCAAGTGTCAAAAATTAGCAATGAAGGATTAAAAAACTAACTTTGAACTCCTTTCTTAACATCTAATAACCTGAGCTAAGGGAGAAATGACTAAATCCCAGCAATATATAAATAACCCAGAAAATACTTCTTTATCAAATATTCTGAGGCACAAACTTATGTTCATGCAGGAATATTCAAGGAATCTGTTAAAAGATTTCTAAAAGTTGATCACTAGATAATTTTCATAAAGCAAAACAAAATTTATGTATTATTGATCTGATCTATTAATTATATTTTCTAACAGCTGAGTGGCACAGTTATAGTTATATATATATATTTGGGTGTAAACTTATCTGCCCCTGCTTGGTAGGCTCACAAAGTGATGGGGGAGGGGGAATTGCATCACTTGAAATTTTTTGCTGACAATCTAGGGATGAATCTTTGTGTGGGGGTGGATATATGTATGTGTTTGTGTGTGTGTGTGCACATGTGTGCCAGAGGTTGATGCCAGGTGTGTTCCTCAATCACTCTATCTTTGGAGATGACGCCTCTCACTGAACATGTAGCTCATCTATCAGGCAGTGCTATTTGGCCACTGAGCTCCAGGTATCCTCCTGTTTCTCGCTCCCAAGCTCTGGGGTTCCAGGCATGGCATATCACCATTCCTGGCCTTTTTTTCATCTGGGTTTTGGGCGTAAGAATGCAGTACCCACCGAGCCATCACCCTAGCTCCTGGGGATGAATATTTTTGATGACACAACTTCAGCTGCAAAGAATTTTCTCTTTTAATAAGTGAAGCACAGAATTCTAGGTTATTAACATGTCTTTTATTTTTAAAAAAGAATATTCAGTTGGTGGCCCTGGCTTCATGTTCTTTCACTGATCCATTGGCAGCATGAATAATTAACTGGAATAAATCACTTAGCCTTAATGGGCCTGAGTTTCACAGTACGTAAAATGGGGATAAGAATTTTTTATTTTTTTGAGACAGGGTCTTTCTATGTAGTCACGGCTGGCCTAGAGCTGGCTGTGTAGACCAGACTGGTCCCGACCTCACAGAGATCTGCCTGCCTCTGCCTCTGCCTCTGCAGTACTGAGATTAAAGGTACAAGCCACCAAACCCAGCCAAGAATATGTGTACTACACTGAGTCATTGGAATATTTCCAGGTTTAGGTAAAACACTAGAAAGCACTTTATTTTTTTCAAAACACAATAGAAATATTTGCTATGCCATGGTGTCTCAATTATTCGGGAACTGCTTCATCGAGCTCACTCTGATCTGTGCTTAAGGTAGGCACTCCTACAGGATAACAGGATGCATATTTAGTCTGATTTTATTTTAAAAATAATAAATCACAAAACTAAAATGTTTGAACAAGGTCACTTAACCCTCTTCCCCAGTGGTCAGTTATTATTATCATTATCAGCATCTTTATTAATTTGTAACTATACATTTAAAAGAGATCTTTAATACATCAGCTGGGAAACACATCCCTGGCACAGGTGGTCTCCAGAAGAAAAGCTCATCTTCACAGGAGCTTAGTCCTCTGCTTTTAAAGTGCAGACCCTGGGTGGGGAGGGACAGAGAGGCTACTGCACATTTGTCACTGAGGGACCAACTCCCTCAAGGAGGCCAGAGCAGCATGGATGCGCACGTGCAATCTGTTTTCAAAGTCGTAGCCAGAAAAATCCTCCTGGAAGACCAGAGAAAGATAATTATCGATTGTTACCTAAGCTTGTTCCCAGGATGCCGCAGGATAACCACATTGCATTTTATATTCCTCAGAGTGAAATTCCCTACTGCCCACTGAAGATTTCATATCTGCTTGACTGTCATGTTCCCCAACCCTCAGGCATGGTGTTTATTTTTATAAACATTTATAAAAATGTAGCCAGGCATGGTGTTACATGATAATCCCAGCAGTTGGGAGGCTGAGGCAGGAGGCCTGTAAGTGTTCTCTTTGGAAAAATTTCCTCACACTATTCTTAAAATATTAGTCTTAAGTAAGTTACTATTAGAAACAAATTTTTTTTGAGATAGGTCTCACTATGTAGCCCCTGGCTGGCCTGGAACTCTCCATGCAAACCAGGTTGGACCTCAAACTCAGAGAAGTTCACCTGCCTCTGCTTCCAGAGTGCTGGGATTAAAGGCATGCACCACTATGCCAAGCCACGGTTAGAAATTCTTAGTTAAAAAACATAGTTATGGAACCAAAAGTATATTGCTCCTGGAGCTGGGGTGTGGTGGTGCACGACTGTCCCCTCTTCTACTCAGGAAGCTGAGGCAGGAAGGTCACTTGAGCCCAGGGGTTTAAGACTAACTTGGGCAACATAGGAACACCCAATTAAAAAAATACGAAGTTCATTTCCCCATCCGAACACTAGAAGCAGAGCACTGCTAAATCTGTAACAATTTCACAGCAATTTCCCACTTTCTTGGAAATCACATTAAAACTAAGTGCTCACTGATTCAATTAGCTATCACCTCTTTCCAGAATTATTAACAAATGGAACATCCCAAGAGTCCTTGAATTTGGACTTAGGTCAGCCATGAGAAAGAGGAAGAGTGGGAGTTTTTACCTTTGCCTGAAGAAGGAGAGTCCTGCCTCTTCCTACAGTCTATGAACGGAAGAAGAACATACTGTGTTTTAACACAACATTCACATAAACTCAAGGAGAACAAGATATCACAAAAGGACATGCTACCACATAATCTGTCAGACACACAGAGGTGAGTCACTTACAACTCAACTTTTCTCTAATGTAAAGATATGTGTTACTTTTCATTAAGGCATTGATTTCTTGATAAATAATTTTTCAGTCTCATACTAGTCTATAAAAGGCAATAATTTTAGTACAATACCACAGGTTAAAAATCTTACTAAAAACTTCAAAGCAGTGACAACCCAAAGGTCTTCTTGGAGACAGTAGATGTTAAGTCCTTTAAATGTATTGCTAAGTGAGCACATCGACTTCATTTCTTAAAAACTAGATGGACATTCTTTTATTTAAAGTACATTCATATTAAGACTACACGAAGGATAAACATCTCTTTACAATAAAGAATGCAATGCTTGAAGTTTCTAGTCAATGTGTAAAAATTATATTTTTTTTCTATTTTGGTAAAGTGAACTCAATTTTTAAAAAATGGAGTCACTGTTTTCAGGTACTTTTGAAACCCAATTATAGCAAATAAGTAAAACCCCCACTATTTGCACTAACCCTCCCCTCTATCTGTATGACGTGTGTGTGCATGTGTGTGTATGTGCATGTGTGTGTGTGTTGTACATGTGTGCCCATGTATGTGTGCTGCTTGGGGGGGTACTCCTGTGGGTGTACAGCCTGAATGTGGAGGTCCGAGGATGACCCTGGGTGTTGGAACTCAGGTGCCTTCAGACTTCTGAGACAAATTCTCTCACTGGCCTGGAATTTGGCCACACTGGCCAGACAGCTTCCAGGATCCTCTTGCCTCCATTTTTGTCCCTTGGCACTGAGCTACAGGCATGTGCTGCCAAACTCGGCTTTTTATATGGTTCTCAGGATCTGAACTCAGGTCCTTGAAACTTGCTAGGACAGCTTATCAGAGCCATCTCCCCTGAATCTTAAATATACACCCCAATAGTAGCTATCAAGTCCTGTTTGTATGGTGTTGTAAACTTTTTAAAGTAATCATATATGTCATCTTTATTTATTCTTACAATAATTTTTATTAAATTGGCAAGCCAGGTATTTTTTTAATCCCATTGTGTAGATCAGGAAGAGAGTTTGCACTGAGGTAACAACCAGTGGCATAAATTAAAATATATGGTGGAGCCAAAATCATTCACAAGTCTCTTTCCAATACAATATACTATT